ATTTACCTTGAACATATGTTGCAATTTTCGTTAATTTCAACCTTATTTCGTTCAATCTGTGACAAGATGATAAGATAAAGAGAATATTAGTTTCATTACGATTTTGAAATTGCACGTATTTCATTTATATCTTGTAACTTCATTAATTTGTGCAACATGGTCCCGCCTTAACGGCAACATACCGCACCTCGCAGTTACGATGCCGCGAACATTTAACGCGACGCAGCCAAATCGGCCCGGCGACGGTTTCGACTCTTATCACGGGCAGGGCTGAGCCGAAATAAACGTGTTCCCCTCGGCCCTGACTGTCCATCTGCCCCATCGATCCCGGTCTGATAGAACAAGACAAGCCTTGGTAGAGAGTACAGCTTCGTACAGCCGCTTGCTTTTATTCGCGTGACTCTTTTCAAGTAATGCACACTAGATGGCACATTTGCTGGCACACGTTGCTAAAATTGCAATAAAGAAAGTAGATACATGTCGAGATTTTTGCGTCGTGAGGTCATCGGTTTTAGTTGGTAAAGTGTCTAATCGCTACCATATGATGCAGATTCGAGTCTCGCAGTGCTGAAAGTTTCTAACCATTTATCTACAAAAATCACATATTAAATACCCCTTGTCTTAATTCGATATTTATTTATTTTTATTTATCTAAGTAGATACAAACTTAAGTTACAAAACATGTGTTAAAAAGAAAATAGTAATGAAGATTAAAACAAACTTTTGTAACTAAACTCAAACTATTAAACATTAACGATGGATCTCTAACTAAGCCGAGCTTATATCTTGGGATTCAGAGCTGCCAGATTTGCGATAGGTGTTTGCATTTTGAATACTCATTGCTATTAACAAAAATAAAGTTATAATTAAGATACATCTGTTTCCAATTTGTTGTCAGTCTTTCTGACTGAGGCGCGGAACGAAGAAGAGATAAAGCACCCTTTACTACACCTTGTGGTTACAAATTTGCCTCGTGAACGAAATCACGAGGGTCTTTTCAGTTGCGAGGGAAGTTTTCGTTTTGTGGCTATGAATACTTAAATATCATAATTTAGTAATATCACTATTGTGATATTAAATTATTGTATTAGTTATATTAGTTTATGCGCATAACAGTTTAAAAGCAGAAAAAATTGTTATGAAACTTTTAATTTCGCTTTGGAACCTGCGGATTACAACGGTTAATGTCAACGACAATTCTGTGGCAACATACGCATGAGGAATTGCGTTTCTAGATTTAAATAGATAAAATACCAACACTTCAGGCCTTCGAGGAATAGAGATTGATAGATGCCGCCACTGAAGACGAAAAAGTTTGCAAGGACAGTCAGCCGTCCCCAGCCCTGGCGTTGTAACGGAGGCGGCTTAGGAGCTCTTGTGTGACGCACCGGGGAGCGTCTATTTCAACCGGATGATTTACGTCGGGAGCAGATAACAACCCCCCCCCCCCCCCCCCCCCCCGCCACTCACACCCCCTTCCACCCCCACCCCCGCATCAAAGACGCGATGGATCGCATGAAGCGCTGACAATTTATGCCCCGCTTTGATATTAAGTGGTCGCCTTCTTCGCCACGTTAATGAGCTTGCGTAGCGGAATTAGGAGTTTTTTTTTTCATTTCGTCGTCGCTGTTATGGTTTAATTAAAACTGCAACTAAGAGTGCCTCATTATATTAATGAAGGAAGGCGTTGAATACATTCATGGACAATGTTCGGTGCACGTCGTAATTAATGACGAATTTGATTCTTGAATTCAATTTACGAGTAAAAGCTATCTTAATTCCCGTTATTGAAAACCGTTCAGCTTTCACATGGATATTTGCAACACCCACAGAGTTGCAGATGTGTCGCCAACTTTTAATAAAGTGGGCCCCGGCTACCTCACTCACCAGACGAATAGCAGAAGTATATCACATCCACTTAGCGCCGGCCTTCTGTGTGGGCGTGGTACTTAACCGGAGGTACGTGCCCATTCGTGCGACACTGAACCCTGTTCCATGGCCCTACCAAAGTTACAATTAAGCTACTTACATATTTTCATACTCAACCTGCCTATTACCACCGCTCTGCGATAGACCGAAGACAAAGACTCCTGGCGGGAACTAATAGACACAACTTCCCTTGCTTACCATCAGCAACAGGACCGTAGTTAGACACGACCTTCAAAAATGACGAGTGCGACGAAGTATAAGAAGATTTCTGCTTTTCAATGCCTGACTTTTCGAACACTACGACATATACTCGAGGTGGACAGTTAGTCCCTCGTATTTAACATTGCGTTAAATATAACGAACTGATCTAACAATGATCCTACTACGTACTTAAATTAACAGTACAGTTAGCTGTTAAACGCTTTATGTGGGCGACTGTACTGGCTCCCTTCGCGTACAATACCGATGATCTGTTGTATTAAGGCAACAATACGGATGGAGGTTAATTAGGCTGAGCCCTCGGGCAACCCCCCCGCACCGCCCCCTCCACTCCAGCTGTCCTGACGCATTAGCGTAACGGTAATGAACGTATGTAAGGTTATATAACAGATGTGCAAACGATTCAAATACCTCCAAATGAGCTACTCCCGATTGATTAGATACTTTGCGTGGCCGCGAATGGCGCAAGATAATTTAAAGGGTTGAAAAGTTAAATATGTATTTATAAAAAGCCGTGATAGCTCAGTGTCCTGGCGCTCGCTGTTAATTTAGTATACTCGAGCACACCCGAGTTCAAATCCCGGTGCCGGCACCAATGAAATTTGTAATGTTAAGTGCTAACTTATCACGTGCTCACCGGTGAAGGATAAGATCGTAAGGAAATCTGCATATTTTCGGAATAAATAAAAAAAATATACACGTGAAGTCCGCCAATCGGCATTGGGGTCGCGTGCCCTAAAACCCTTTGTACAGAGGAGGCCTTTACCCAGAAGTGGGACATATACAGGCTGTAACTTAGGACATATACAGGCTGTAACTTTATAATTTACTAGTTAAAAAAATAATTTGCTCGGTCGAAACTTCTATTACGTGTTAAGACGAAGAAGAACAATTTGACGCGACAAGCATTTCGCTTACAAAAAGAAGCAATAGAGTTAAGCAGTGTAAATCAAGTTTCACCCGAGCCGAGTTCATTGTAACATTACAGTTCGATATAACGCCAACATATCGATTGCACATTAGCTGATTAATTTTCTCGACGTAGTTGTTGTGAATTTCCCCACCCCCGCCGACGATGCGTTCCATAATTGTTTGTCTATTTCGTACATTGCTTTAATATCATAGTTTGGGCTCGAATGTAAGGGTGAATTACAAATGCAAATCTAAAGCCGTTGAGATGGATCGTTATTAACCTAGGTACGTTGTTCTTCTATAGTTAGGTTCATGGTACAGGAGTATTTGTTGTGTTGTTATTTGTTATTGTTTATTGTTATTGTTTTAAATAGTCTCAGTTATAATCTAATTTCATGCGATTTCATTCAAAGTCAAAGTTAAAATTACTTTATTCAATACAGGCTTATTTTAATAAACTTTTATTGAACGTCAAAAAACTACCACCGGTTCACAAGTTAAGTCGTGATAGCTCTGTGTCCGAGCGTTCGCCTTTAATTCAATATACTCGATCAACCTGATTTCGATCCCCGGTGCCGGCACCAATGAAATTGTTAATTTTAAGTGCTGACTTATCACGTGCTCAGCGGTGAAAGAAAACATCGTGAGAAAACATGCATATTTTCGAAATAATAACAAATAAATATTTTGAAGATACGTAAAGTCCGCCAATCCGCAGTGGGCTGCGTGGTGGTTTCCCAGCATCGAGATATGTGTAGGCTGTTACTTTACTTTACTTTAAGGACTAATTTCTTTAATTTCAATATGTTTTATCTTTATAATAATATGTATTTCATAATAATGTGTTTTCATAATAATTTCAATGTGTTTTACTCATGTAGTTTTCCTATCATATTCTCAAGCACGTGATAATCCCACCATTAACAATCAACAATTTTATTAACGAAGTAACCCGATCTCAATTTGAACCCACGTTCGATTCGTGTCAGCGATTTGATTGGGAAGCGTCGGGAGGATACTAATCGTCGGATACTTATCGTAGCTATAAGTTTGAAGGGTATAAGCCGTCCCTTACCGTGGCGTGCAATATATTATACTAGCTACTGCCCGCGACTACGTCTGCGTAGAATAGGCTGAAGGCGTAACATTCAGACAGAAAGACAGATATACATAAAAATATGTATATAAATTATAGCCCATGTGTTATACTGATGTGTAAGCTATTTTATTGTAAAGTTTTATTAAAATCCATTCAGCAGTATTTGCGTGAAAGAGTAACAAACATCCATCCATACATACAAACTTTCGCGTTCGTAATATTAGTAAGGATTCCCGCGGATGTAAATATCTTAGTCAGTGGTACGTGCTGAATTCTAAACTCGCTCCCCCTATACGAGCGCCCTTCACGCGCCGCCCGTTTCAATTTGCGATGCGGCGACATTCATTGGTCATGTCGCCGTGAGGAATGCCGTGTCCCCGCAAAGGTGGTGCAAGGAATGTTAATTTAGTATGTTTATTTTATGCCGCATGCCGCTAAACCCATGGAGACGATCTGACGACGTCAGAATATTGTCCAATCTTATTGTATATTATACTATCTCCTTATTTCAGTAGTAAAAATTGATTAAAGTTGTTGATATAACAGAGATCGTTAACACCAATTTTACTACCAGTTAATTGAAATTTGTTGTTAAAGAATTCTATGACTCCGTGGCGCAGTTGGCAAAGTATTGGTTTCGGCTTCGGTGGTCGTGAGTTTGATCCCCACACGGGACAACTATTTGTGTGACCCACAGATAGATGTTTCGCATCCGGGTGTTTGTCCACGTGAAATTTATGTTTGTAAAACGCCCTTACAACACAGGATAATGAAAAGTAAGGGCAATGTTAAAAAAAAAAAAGAAAATGACAGTACAAATAATAAGATCATAGCCGCATTACAATTCCGAAGCGGGGGAGATCGCGCGAATCAATGGAGCAGACAAAAGCCCTCGGGGTCCTACCACCTCTTCGGGTTTCGCTAAGCGGGGGACCTTTTGAATTTTTAAAGGCCCAACGCTCGCAACAGAGCAATTAGTCCTGCCCACCACCGATGGCGCGGTGATAGCGCACGTCCCGGGCGTCGCTCCCGTCCGCTGTTTTGATATAATGATGAATCGGCGTTTGTATCCCCCGCCGTATCTGGGGAAGCCGGTAGTAGACGTGTCGTAACTCAATCTACCCCCACGGGGTGCGAGCCGCTTGATCTTCTATTGTTTATCGTTTTTATATATCACAAACGAACTAGTAGCCAGGTTTGAAAGGCATCAAAGGTTACCGAGAAAAAGAGTAGAACTTATCAGGCGCGTCATAGTAAATATCGTGTTCACATTGTACTTTGAAGAAGTGGACGACGTGTTAGCGGATTGTCTTGGCAGTTAATAGAGATTTCGATCTATCTAACGATCGTTGGTGGTTGAGCAGTAAAATGACAATGCTCTAATTACGAACTCTAACTAACGGATTGCGTAGGTTTGCTCGTAACCTATTAGAAGAATGAAATATCGTACGGGTGTTTTACTAATATAGGATTATTTTAAACTAGCTGCTGCCCGCGACTACGTCTGCGTAAAATAGGCCGAAGGCGTAACATTCGGACAGAAAGACAGATATACATAAAATATGTATATAAATAGCTATATTATTGTAAAGTTTCATTAAAATCCATTCAGTAGTATTTGCGTGAAAGAGTAACAAACATCCATGCATACATACAAACTTTCGCGTTTATAATATAAGTAAGGATTGACCACCTAAGGTTAATTTCTGAGACTTGAAAATAATTAATGGTAACTGAAATAAGATTATAAATGCGAAAACCTTCACTTAGTATTTTTGAATCAAATACTAGGAATGGAAATCGTGAATACCGCGCGTGGAAATTAACTACTCCAAATAGCGTGACACGGGCGCGGATGAAGGCGAATCGAAACGCCCAGAAATAGCTCAGCCAACGGGACAAATCCAAATGAGCTAATCCAATAACATCGGCCGGCGAAAGCTGCCTTCGGCGCTGCTTCCATGAACACGACAGCTAATGGCGCGGTGTCGAAATGCTGATACGGCCGCGACCAGAATCGTGAGTGTTACTAGGAAAACGACTATTAGCGGTGGACAGTCCGCTGTCAAATAAAACTTAGGATAGAACACGCGGTGTTAGGCCTCGCGTCCAGTGGCAGCGAGGCGGTGCGGATGCTGTAATATGCATCTTGAAGATCCTGTTTAAACCTATTGTTCTATAGGTTTTTTGAATTCGGTCCGTGGCTCGTCTGTGTTGTTTTAAAATAGTATTTGGGAAATGTATTGTGATATAGCAGTTCGGTCTTACGTATTTAGCGTCTGGTGATATGTCTATGTCTATTTTGAATAATTACAACAGGTTAATAGGTAATTACATTGGTCCTTGTAATCAATACATGCTACTTGTTAACTCACAAATGTCGTTTTTAGTTACCTTGAACTCCTCATATATATCATATTCGGACATTTCAATAAATAATATAAGATATGGAGGACTGTACCGAAATCAAAATCAAAAAAGTCACACTTGTCAGTCTTGTTTATTTATAAATTAACATTGATCGATGTAACGCACATCTTTAACAATTTTCATGTGACTATATATTTTTCATAAATTAATAATTATAAATTAAATAAATGAATTTTACCAATACACATGTCTAATGAAACATATTCATAGTAGATAAAAAACGAGAGCAACTAAAATATTTATCGCTTTCGATGTAGTGGGGTCACAGCTTTAGTGCGAGAGTTAAATAAACCCCCTGGTTGTAACTCGTGGAGTTCCCGTAAACTAATTTTTCAGCGGCGAGGTGTGTCGACGCGTTCCGTTGCGCCCAAATAAATAACCCGTTCGCCGAAACAACCGTCCGGGGCTTAGCCGCCATCCCTTTGATATTCGGGATTACCTATTTGATTTGTCACGTTAAGTTTTGTGGCGATTTATAGACTGCGAGCGGTCTTTGATACGATGATCTATACTAACTGACATCGCGGCTTGTTTCTCGTTTAGGAACATACCGCGGCGTCGTCCGAGTTATTGTTTGGACAGTTGGAACGGATTTATGCGGCAACGTTGTCACACAAGATTAAGCTGTGATTCTCTTTTCTTTGAACCGAGTAGGTAGGTAGTTAATATTTCAGTGGAGTGGCTTTGTAACTGCGAGCTGGTGGGCTAGCTAGATGTTATTTCGTGTAAATGGCTAACGCATTCGAGTCCAAACGGACTTTTGCTCAATGAAAAGTGAATTAACCTTTATTTCATCCATGCCAGCGATTAATATTCAAGAGCTAGAGCTAGCGTATCTTGAAAAAAAAAGATGAAATATTGTTAAATAATAAAACTGACCATATTAAATTACTCTAATATAAAACTGTGACGCTTTTTAACTTACTGACAATTACGCCGCTTGTTTACATAGGAGCTGACTAAAGACCAAGTTACTGGCTGTATATGAGACGTAGTACATAACGCTTAATGGCTATGTACGGGGTTTATTTATGTACAAGTGGGGCGACGCGTGCCTTGATTGACGCGCGACGACCGCATCCGGACGGATGTGTGTGAGCTTACTGATGCCGAAATAATTACTGTCATGCGTTAGATCAGGGCTTCCTAATGGCCACCTAAGCGCCGATGACTTTCGATTTCAACTTCTAGCACTCTTGGTGCTTTCGTATTCAGTCTAATTATCCTGTAACAGCAATCGATCCAATTGTCATAGTGGACAGTGGACCTGTCTCCTGCGCCAGAGGGTGTGTGGTTCGATCCCTGCTACTGGAAGAATATTGTGTTATGAACATAATCTTTTAGTGTCTGGGTGTTTACATGTCTATAATATGTATCTATTTGGAATAGAAAATTGTCAGTTACGTGCACGTGCCATAGAAAAGCTTGAAGCTATCTGTTTTGTGTTGTAGCGCCATTGGGTAAACTGGTAGGGGCATCCCTATGTCCCTAGAAAGAGAAGAAATATAAATATCAAAAAGAAATATAAATATCGATATATAGACAATATATCGATATTTATAAAAATATCAATATCGGTCTCGATATATCGAAGAGAAAATGACGATATACCGATTCGATTGTCGATTCTCTTTAGGCCCTGTTGTCCAAAAAAACGCCATGTATTAAATATTTGAATAATTGACTCTATCCCTGATTCAAATTTGAAAAAAGTATCTATTTAAACCTTAAATATTGAATATTTTATATCGATATTTCGGTTAAAAATATATCGCCTACCATATCGATATATTTAGTAAAAAAATATCGATATGATATATCGATTTTTTTTATTTCTTTTTATGCTAAATGTTGCCAAACGAGCAGACGGGTCACCTGATGTTAAGTGAATACCGCCGCCCATGGACATCTGCTACACCCGAGGGTTACAGATGCGTTGACAACCTTCTGAAAAATGGACTCCGGCTACCTCACTCACCAGACGAAACGCGAAAGTATTTGTCATACTTCCACTTTACGCTGGTCTTCTGTGAGGTCGTGGTACTAACCCGGACGGGCCTGCCCATTCGTGCAACAGCCGAGGCTGCTGCGTGGCCCTACCACCGTGGGATACCCCTATGCTGGCCTGGGATGGCCCTACACCGATTTTTTCGACATTCCTATAAAATGGATACTTCTATGATATGTCTTGCAGCCAACAAATGCAGGTAAATACTAACAAGTGTCATTATGTAAATTTTTTGGTAGTTACAAAATTTGTTTCACAATTCTTGCTAGTTACAAGAAAGCCAATTCTCTGTTAGACGAAGTTTGCTTTATAATTTTCTCAAACTTTATATAAACTTGACAAAAGGCATTGAAACTCAATTACTACAATACTTACTCAAGTTAATAAAATTGTTATGAACAGATTTCTCTCCTTTTTACATTTGTTTTTGAATAATTTCTAAAAAGATAAAGAGCTTTTACGTTTAAGCCATCTTACGAGTGTCTTAATACCCAATAGTCCAAAAGTTTATTTTGGTCGTAAATAATTTAAAAATAAAAAATTCTTTACTTACTCTTAAATATCTTCCAAACGAGTTTCTAACAACAGTCCTAAGCAAAAACCTGACTGTGGCAGGGCCACGCAATAGCCTTAGTTGCACGAATGGGCAGGCCAGTCTGGGTAAATACCACAACCTCACAGAAGAACGGCCCAAGTTGGAGTGTCACTTCACGCCGGTCTTCTGTTAGGTCGTGGTACTTACCCGGACGAGCCTGCCCATTCGTGCAACAGCCGAAGCTGCTGCGTGGCACCACCACCCTAAATGCCAATGCTCCAATAACGGTTTCACACTCCAATTTTAACCGCTGATTTAACATGCTCGGCGTTGGAGGAAACCTGCAAGACCCAATAATTAAGAATATACTTCCGAGGTACTTTAGGTCTCCACAGGCCTCGAAGCACGATCCTGAGCCACCTTGGGTGCAGGTGGCTCAGGATCGCCTCTGTGTAGTCTACCTCTCTGATTAACGTACACATAAACTCAATGCAGATGTAGGCATCTGTTAACATACCTTGCATATACGCAGTTATGTAGGAGTGTTTGCAGTTTGCGGTCAACCCTAGTTACACACTCAATACGTCGGTGATTGAGTGGTCGACGCAGCTAGGTGTGGCGGAGATTTCTGCGGTCGAATTGAAGCTAGGCTGTCTGCAGTTATATATTTGTGTAGAATCTGACTACTTTCACGTATATAAGGGTATATTGGGTAAATCGAAAAACACTTTTAGAACTTTTTAATGGTATATATGTTGAATTGTTTTAGCGGCTTGTGTAATACGAGTAACGGCATACTGACATAATTTGTTAATTATCAAGGCATTATTTATTAAGAGGTGGCAACCCTTAATCACTTAACATCAGCTGAACCGCCGGCCGTTTGCCACTTTCTCACATTAAAAAAAAATGTTTCGATGGCGCAATTACTGAGCTATTGGTTTCGAAGCCGGGGGTCACAGGAACGATTCCCACACGGAAAAGGACTATGAATTATGAATGAGTTTCATATATCTTTATTATTTTATGTATTTTTTATTTAGTTCGTTGTGTGGCCTAAACTGTTTGATGTAAGTTATTTCATCAGTTTCATTCGCATCGTCTTACTTGCGAGTGTGGTATAACGTTTAATATTGAGTATTTTGTGGATACATTTTTATAATTACTTTTCTGTATTATTAAATTATCAAGTCTTTTGTTTATTTAGCTTTAACTTGTAGTTATAAACATTGTGTTAAAGTCTCCAAACCAGCCCTCTTGTCACCTTAGCCGCGGCGAATCCGCTTTAAACACAAGAATTTTAATTGTATTTTTCTTATTTCCTTCTTCGTTTAATTTCTACCCTCTCGTACTTTGTATTTTTTTTAAATTTCCCTCATTTCGTACGACGAACATGTGAGAGACGTTGGGACTTTAAAAAACCAAGCCAAGTGCGAGTCAAACTCGCGCACGAAAGGGCCGTACCATTATCTATAAAAACGGCAAAACATCATGTCTGTTGTATACTAGCCCCACTTTACATTTTCTATTTCTTTTTTTAGTATTTAATGCTGTAGCGGCATCAGAAATACATCATCTGTGAAAATTTAACTGTCTAACTATCACGGTTCATGAGATACAGCCTGGTGACAGACAGTCAGACGGACAGATAGACAGACCCCGCTACCCGGTCCCGTTTTAACCCTTTAGGTACGGAACCCTAAAAATGCCCTTGTTACCTCACTGACCAGACGAAACGCGAAAGTTTAATACTTCCACATCACGCCGGTCTTCTACGAGGCCGAGGGACCCTAAAAACCTAAAATAAAACTTAATAAAGTGCAGTAGGTACTCTTCTAAATAGAAGACCTTAAAATCACAATTGAGAATACAGTTTCTCCTTCGTACTGCGGTCTGGCGAGGATGGCTTTAAATGTGCTCCGCCTTGCCACATCCTGCAACACGGGCCTGGGAGTCCGAAAGTGCAGACAATTAAATCCTAAGTGGGGTCTAATTGTTAGCCGCATACGGCGGGCGCCTCAAGTGCGAACTCGTTAACTCCGCCAATAGTCCCGAAGTTGGCACAGCTTTCGATTGGCGCTGTTGTTTTCTGCTTTTTTACCGGTACCGTCTTTCTTGCGGAGATTAAATGTCAGGAAAAATTTAAATTACTTTTCGTTTTGTATCTATGAAATATTACTCATATGTTATATCGTGTCTGGGTTGACATCTATCACTATCTCGGCAATGATATGAAATATTCTCTCAATCTCGTCTACGACTAGTGGTGGAATTTCAAGCAGCCTTCCGGATTCAGGCTCGGAAAGCTTCTTGAAGTTCATTAATTCAAATTCGCGACTACTACATATATATAGTACATGTATATAGTCGTACTATTAATTCAAATTCGTAAGGGGATATTCAAATAACCACGCCATGTATAATAAGTTAAGTTACTTATAAAAGTGCGCGTCCTTAAAACCTTTCAGTTGCTATTGTCGCTTTAAATGTCTCGAAAGCTTTGGTCAACTGCCGGTTAATTTTATTACAGTTTAATCTTAATTGCTACCTTTCGGGAAGTTGATTGATCGGACCCCTGATTAATTACTTTATACTTCCATGCATCTCTTAATGCGTTTCGTCTCACTGTCTTTCTCTTTATGCTTTTAATGAGGGTAGGAAACGACCGGTTCATCAAATGCTGAGTTCTGGAGAATCTCTAAGTTTTGGCATTCTAGAATCAAATATACTTATTGCTTAACTTGGTGAGCTGTTCGGCGTGGTGGATGTGGTTTCGATTCCCGTACAGGACAAGTCGCGTGGCGTTCGGATAGATAATTCGATTCGATTCGATTGCGTATGTAAAACGTCCTTTCAATGCAAGGTTATTAAGTTTAACTCGATGACTCCTTGGCGCAGTTGCCATGATATTGGTTACCGTGACGGGGGTCGTGGATTCGATTCCCACACGGGATAACTGTTTGTGTGACACACAGATAGTTGTTTCGCATCTGGGCGTTTGTCCGCGTGAAATTTATGTTTGTTAAACGTCCTTACAACACAGGATAATATCATCCTAAAGTAAAGGCAGTTTTATTAAAAAAAATTATAAAAAAATTGAGAAGTCTGTAGGCTGGTACGCGAAGCGAGAATAGCGCCAGACGCCACGCGCAAAACCGAGGGACATCACTAGTGGAATCAATCAAATGGAAGCAGGATCGAGTACAGGCCGAAAATCGGTGTGTTTCACATTTTATGATTATTGACCGAGTGTAAAAGCATTTAACATAATCAGCAATGCAGATTTCTTGTTGCGGCCAAGCAGTAAATTTCGGAAAGGCTAATAAAGTAATTAAGTATTAATTGGTCTCAAATTAAGTAAGGTTTGAAGTTTTTCGGGATTCCAACATTGATTTTATCGTTTCTCTTTATCAAACGCGGAACGCATTTAAATCGTAATTAACAAACAAACAGCATTTTATTAACTTTTGTTGGATGTAACTTACCTTGTTATCTTAAATTACTATCGATAGTGACTTTTTATCGGTATAAATTAACATTTGTATAGTATAAACAGGACGAGGCCTGTACTTTCCATAAATTGTATAGACGTTTTTTACCTTCCATAAATGGAACTGACGTTTCTTTCTAACGGTAGCCGTGATAGCTCATTGTCCGGGCGCTCGCTTCTAATTCAATATACTCGAGTAACCTGAGTTTGATTCCCAGTGCCGGTGAAATTGTTAATTTTAAGTGCTGGCTTATCACGTGCTTAGCAATGAAGGAAAACATCGTGAGGAAATCATATTTTCGACATCATAAAAAAATATTTCGAAGATATGTGATGCCCTAATACCGCCTGTACAAAAGAGGCCTTTACCTAGCAGGGGGACATGTATAGGCTGTTTCTTAACTTTTTTTTAAACAATACCTTTTGTATTTTCGCAAATTTCGACTACAGAGAAAAGCAAGGCTACTTGACAGTATTATCGATGAAAAAGTACATACATGTATCGTAATGTGAGTTCGATCCCCATGCGGAACATTTAGGTAAGTATATTAACTAAGAATAGGTAAGTATATTAAGTAAGAAAGTAAGGAAACCGAACTTAACCGCCACTACTAAAATAGCTGCTTTGCCACTGAGACTTAAACAAGAATTCAATCGATTAACATTTAATTTTAACCATTACAAATTTATGCGTTCGCTCATAAAGGTACTTCGCGTGTCACCAATCCACTATTCACACCTATCATAGTGTAACAGAACAGACAACTACTTGAGACACTTAAAAATATAATTTTGGACAAAAAAAACCGACTTCAAACAGGAAACTAGAAACATTGTCAACATCTATAACATTTGTGAATTGCCCTCGATTTCTCTGGGTTGCCATCATCAGATCTGGGTTTTCTTAGCATGGTACCACACTTGGGATATCTACCTTTTATTTATCTACCTTTCCAACAAAAAAAAAGAATCATCAAAATCGGTTTATAAATGACGAAGTTCTCCCCGAACACACATAAAAAAAATATATATACGGTCGAATTGAGAAACCTCCTCCTTTTTTGAAGTCGGTTAAAAATAGCCGAGAACACACTCGGTGACCTATTTGAACTTGCGTCTTTAGATCGGAAGGCGCAGCTTATGCTTGCACTTGCTCATTGCTCTGTACGCGCTCAATTAGGGCGGCGTGTGGGTGGATTTTTATGCAAATGCCGACGCCGGTGGTCCTTCGGCAGAGTGCCTTTATTGCACCATCTACGCCCTATCGCGCCGACATCGTGTCGATATCGCCCCGTTTAGATCTTATTGTACCTACATTATCTCAGTAGCTTCTACGCGGCCTTCGCTTCAGATAGAATATGAAGCATTGACGCAACTTGAGTGTAAATCAAGTTGTGTCCACGGGAATGAACGCTGTAATGGCCATGAACGATTGAACGCTGTAAAGTGTACGAAACGTCTGGAAATTAAATTCAAAAGTAAACGCAAAAAGTCCGTAAACATATAATTTAATAATGTGTAATCGCGTAAATAGAAACGCCACCATGTCCATCCGTCTACAGGACGAGAGCTCGAAAGCAATCCAAGTACAGAGAGGAGTGAGACAGGGAGACTTCATTTCTCCGAAACTTTTCACGACCGCATTGGAGGATGTTTAAGCTCTTGGACTGGGACGGATTCGTCATCGACATCAACGGCGAATACATCACTCTAATACGTTTTGCCGATGATATACTCATGATGGCAGAGTCGCTGTAGGGCCTTAACACTTTGCTCAGCGACCTTAGTAACGTTTTCCAACAATTGGGTCTTAAAATGAACATGGACACGACGAAAATCGTGTGAAATGCCCATGTTGTACCCACACCAGTTATTGTTGGGAACGATACTATCGAAGTTGTCGACCACTATGCCTACCTTGGACAAACAGTAAAGTTAGGCAGGCCAACTTCGACAAAAAGGTCACTCGAAGAACCCAACTTGGATGGACAGCGTTCGGGAAGCTACACGATATCTTTTCGTCCAAGATTCCGCAGCGCCTGAAGACAAGGGTGCATAACTAGTGTGTGTTGCCAGCGATGATGTATGGCACTGAGACGTGGTCTCTAAAAGCTGGCCTTTTGGAGAAGCTCAGAGTCACACAACGAGATGACGACGTCAGAATCTTGAACGAGAAAATTCGCCGAAGAACCGGAGTCACTGAAATTTCTCACATCCTCTCCGAATTTACAAGTTGAAGTGGCAGTGGCCAGGCCAGTTCGCTTAAAGAATTGATTATCGATGGGGAGTAAAGGTTCTCGAGTGGCGACCACGAACCGGATACGTCACGTTGGAAGGCCTCCCTCGAGGTGGACCGACGACATTATAAGAGTCGTGGGCCACCGGTGGATGCAAATGACAAGGTGTCGTTCGTTGTGGCGTTCTAAGCTTATGTTCAACTGTGGACGACTTGCGGCTAATGATGATGAATCGCGTAAATACAAGAAATTATTAAGTTTTAATCTTTCAAACTTCTCCAATAGTTGTCCCGAATTGGTTGTACTTTGATTTAGCGATTTCGTGTTTGTTACGACCCACGTATTGTTTGATGAAAGATATATTGTAAAAATTAATTATATGAAAAAATTACGTATCACTTAAAACTGACTCACTATCTACTATTAACCGTATTGATACTAAATTAATTAATTATCGATTCGTGTCGTGTTTAAATAAATCGATTACAATAGACAGGACTAAATAATTGGTTTGGAAATACTGAGCCGTGTAGTTTCGATAAGGTTACGATAACGTTACGATCTGTTATAGGCGCAAAAAGCACTTAAGCGCGATCGAGCATCGAGCGTTAGGAATCCGGCGGCCTGCTGTTAATTAGCGCCGTCAGACGCGCGGTTATCTCCCGCCGTTCTATTTAAAGGTAGCCGTTTCGAACTCGATTTGTTTTAGTTCGCGACCATTTCGCACTCGCGAGGTGGTCGCGCACCCTTTTGGACGATTAACGCAAAGCGGTGCTTTTATTGGGCAACGCCTTATGCCGCGGTTACGGGTGGCAATTCTTGTCTCCGTTTAAATAGGTTTTTTTTAAAGAAAAGGCAAAACACAAGCTAGCGGTTCGCCTGGTGTCTTGTTACCTTTCCCAGTATATGAAACGCAGGCATTTAAACAGGCTTCTGTGGACTTGCGGGGGTCAGGGTACCATGTGAAGAACGATTTCTTCAATTGATTGGTTTCGGTAAAAAATTCCTGAACCTGTACCTGAAACTGAACTCAAAATTGAGTACTAAAATTAAAATTACTCAATTATAATTTTAGTACTCAATTTTGAGTTCAGTTTCATTTTGAGTAAGTACTCAATTACAGTACCATACAATATCTTAAAACGTGGCTCTGAAATCCTAGAGTCCATAACGAGAAACACTATAACGGAATATAATATTCGTCAACTCCGCAATAAATTTCATTTAAATACACTCAGCCGTTTTGGCAAGAAAGGAACATGCAAATCAACGCAAGCTTTCGCATTTATAGATAATATTTGTGCTAAAAAATGAGAACGTATTCCTGCTAAATAGTACCAAACGCACCAGCGGAGCGTCCAGAGCGTTCTCCACCTCACGCGTGGTCCCTCCCACTTGGTCCTCTGCCAAATTGTTGGCACGGAGGGGCGGCCAATGGGAGGGGGCCCCCTTCGCCTGGTCACTGCAGCCAATCGCGTGTGGCAAGTGTTGCCCACGCGCATACTCGCTTCTCCACCGCGTTCTCTTTGGCGCCGTCTGCATACGCTGCCCATTTCCATGTTGTAAGGAACCCTCCTTTAATGATACAGACTGACAGGAGTTATTTTAATAAGCAACACGCCTTTAGGAAATCGCAGTTCGTTGACCCGCTTAGTGAAATTTAAATGAAAGTTTGAAAGGTCTACTTTCATTTATCATTTTTACGAGCATGTTATTTTTATTGAATCATTTTTAAATAGGTTTTAAATTTTTCCCGCGATAAAGCCTTTATATAAGTATCTTTTACATTTTATATTTTTATTAACAAAAAGATTCCTACATCCCTTTTAATGCCTCTAAGACTAATTAACTAATCGGTTGATTAGTTTTGGCGTGAAAGCGTAACAAACACTCACATTTATTATGTTAGTAGATTTTTTAATTTATACTAAGCGCTTTAATTTAAAAAGAATATTGATTAATGTTTATTGTTAAAAATTATAAGATGTGATAAAAGATGACCCAGTTATAATATTTAAAATTTATTCGGAATATTGGATTTGTTGATTTCCCTAATCTAACAATAGTTTGCAATGTAGATAATAACGCGATGCAGTTATAGGAATTTCGCTCGATATGTTGAATTTTTAAGATGACATCGTTGAGAGAATTAACGATCAGTGAACATACCTTTTCGTACACAGAAAAAGATAAATTCAAAAGAAGAACAGGTTTCAAATTAAAGACCACGAAGCGCTGCCTTATTGCTGGGTAATTTTTAACAGGCAAGCTATGAATCAAAATCGTTTTAGAAATAATTGTATTCACATAAAATATGATACAAAATTCAAACTACGCACATTAAAAATAATAAACAACATTGCACTATTTCGAAATTTTTACCGGGTATAAAAAGATATCATCATTTATTCTCTAAATATTATTAAGCAAGAATAATTTGTCTGAAAAGGTAAGAAAAAACGGGAATAAATAATAACCATGCGTTTATTAGATTATGTAGTATGTTGTCCTTGAGATAATATATTACATAATATACATCTAGCGACCCGCCCCGACTTCGCACGGGTGCAATGTAGATATTGGATTTCTCGGCTTTTCTCTAGTATAATATGCATGTCTACTACGTATAAACTTTCCCCTTGAATCACTATTGCTGAAAACCTTTGCATAGTTTAAAAGATCTAAGCATATAACATCGGGAGCAAAACATCGAGTTTTATACTATCTAAAGATATTAGATATTAAAAAATCATTATCTTCCCTGATTTTATTCTTCATGAGTTGCCATAACATGCGAGTCATGTTTTAATGGTGTTGGTTAGGTTATTAACGGCTGGTAGTCTGCCTGACATCAGCTCTCCTTGGGCACGAACACTCAGACCCCGAACAATTGTTGTACACAAACATTCGACCGCTAACACCACTGTCCCGTGTGGGATTCGAACACTCGACCTCGATAAAGTTAGGCTTTAAACTATTTCACCTTTTTTACTTAATGTTTTTAGCAATAATATGATCTCTAAAAAGTTCGATTTCATATAGGCATAGAACGCAAATCACAGAAAACATCTTTACTAGTTTTATTATTAAATAGATCGTGAAACGTAATATTTATAACTTTTCTATAACTATCATAAAATCATTTTATATGCGTCCGCAATGCGTAAAGGTTACAGCAAAAATATTAATTTAGGATTAGACAAGAGTCAACTAACCAAATAAGTGTAATCTAAAATTGGGAACTAATGATAGCATATGTTAAAGTAGCACGTCAATCTTCCAAGCTAACCTCTAATTAATTCTAATGAAGGGTCTACTTTGTAGCCTATTAACAGTAAGGGTAAGCTAATAAATACTAGGTGTATATGCAATTATAAAATCTGGTAACAGTTATAGTGTAAGTAACTAAATAATCGCAGTGGTAGAAGATCGACAATTATATTTTCATCTTATTTATTTCCTCATTATATGTAATTATTTAACAGGCTTTGTAGAGGAGATCAATAGTGTCATTTACCTTACTAGCTTAGCTTATTATTACAACGGGCGCTGTTCGGTACTTTTAGCGTTAAGCATTGGTACCTTACGAACGTATATATTAATTTTTATGTTAACCTCGAAGATTCATAAGAATGCGCAAGCGTCTATTTGAATAAAGTTTTTTTTTAATTACCACTCATTGCACGCAAGACAATACAAAAACGGGATTGACGTTAAGTTTTAAAACTCGCGATCTTATACCGCCCAACCATCGAGCCACCGCTACATTTAACCCGCAGCCACCGAATGAATAACGGCCTAACCGCTCAGCCGCAATTACCAGCTAAACGATAAAGCCCTCGGACAAGAATACAAAGTGGTGTTTCATATAATAGACGATGTTTTATATATAATTTGGTGTTCTGCCAACTCGCTGCCACTTCGCGCCGGCCGCCGCAGTGCCAAAAACTGCAGAGCGCATGCAGCTGCAGATATTGCGATGCCCCCTACGCGGGAATTAGGGACGCTGGATGTGGCGTGTAAGGCGTACTGGAACTGCAAGCGAGCGTAGTTTAAAGATCAGTTAAGTTGATTCCTGTACTTTATCATGTGGCAGTAACTGTTGCAATTTTTATTGGGAAGTGCGATTTAGTAAGACAGTTAAGGTATGTTTTCACGCGATATGTTCAACATGGTCACGATGGTCCTAATATTTGCGACATAGCATAGTAAAAGTAAAGTAAAGTAACAGCCTATACATGTCCCACTGCTGGGCAAAGGCCTCCTCTATACAGAGGGTATCAGGGCATAGTCCACCACGCGGCCCCACTGCGGATTGGCGGACTTCACATATCTTCGAAATATATTTTTATTTCTTATTATTTCGAAAATATGCAGGTTTCCTCACGATGTTTTCCTTCACCGCGGAGCACGAGATAAGTCAGCACTTAAAGTTAAAAACTTCATTGGTGCCGGCACCGGGGATCGAACTCAGGTTGCTCGAGTATATTGAATTAAAGGCGAGCGCCCGGACACTGAGCTATCACGGCTCTGCACACATAGCATGTTCAATTTCAATTGTTTACTTACGTAAGGAGATTTTATCAAACTGTTTAAATCTGTTGTCAGTATTTTGTATAAGTAAGGTGTAAAGTACACGTACTGTTCTTGTACGTATTTTTCTTGCTATAATCATTTTCGATGCTAAACTTTTTAATTTTCAAATTCACTTCACTTTATTAGCTGTTCATTACAAATTTCATTCACATCCGCCATCATACTCAAACTTGTGTATTGTTTTTACAGTTTGTGTATCTGTTCGATTCTGCCAATGCACAGTGGTGGACTATGCCTTAATACCCTTTGTACCCAGGATTCCTTTCTCCAGCAGTGGGATATGTATAGGCTGATCCTTTACTTTTACAATTTTCATATCTCCATAACGACAACAAAACTAAGCTGTTAACTGCGGATTATTTATATTACACGAGCGCTTGACCGCCGCATCCAGTAGGGCGGCATCCGTGTCGCCTCCGCAGACCTGCGACCGGAGTGCTTTCATATCCTCGAGAGCTCCCCTTTGATCTTATCCCGAGCAGTCCGGTGCACTTTATCGACCTTTACCGTCCATCGCGTGATGCTGCCCACTCCAGCGCGACTCCGAGTCTTTTGGTTTTGGTAACCAACGATGTTCCAAGGCTAATTGTGCCATTATTCGATTTATAAGGCGATTACATCCATTGGTGTGCTTCGATAATATTCTAGTATTAAATACATTTTCAATCGCGCTCCGCATAAAATATACCAAACAATATACCGTGACCAACTCATGTTTAATTAATATTACAAATAAATCCATTAAAAAAAATCTTGTATTTATAGGAATACTACATATTACTATTTATTATGAATTTATCCGTAAAGATAGTTTCATCATAAAAAATCCAACAAATCAAAAAGTTCCTCCGGTGGACCTGGCCCATTCAAAGCGGAAGCTAAGCTAGCTGTTATAACTTAATGTGAAATCACTCAAAAATGTAGCTTCTAGATATGAATTTTATTTGTGAGTTATTTTATTTATGCCAGAGGTCGCCCAGTGGTCTAAATACGACCGTAATTAATTATATATGGTAGTATGTATAATATAATAAAAAAAATGTATTAGCATTTTGTACTGCCGTCTCTATTAAAACTATAAGTGTGGGAAATTTTATACTCCTTCGTCCGTGCAATTTTCGAGAGAGTTTAGTCATCCTTTTGGCAACTCAAATGACATTTGAGAAGCCATTTCACAGCTGATTAGTTAATTCCTACGATGAACAGTGTTTCAGAAACCGGGCATAAGACTTACTAACCACAGAGCTAAGCGGTACCCTCAAGTCGCGAGAAGCTCGAAAAAAATAAAACAGGTCATGCTATAATCGTCAAATTAATTCACTAGAGAAACAGCTTAAGACAATATAATCGGTACATGCCTAACTTGTGTTTTTTTAAATATTCTGATTCCAAGCGATCCCTTTAATCTGCAGTGATTCACCGTCGTGTTTTTGATACGTATCAAAACCGGAATCGAGATATACGAGGTCGAAGTCATCGGGCGTTTTTTGCTCGTGCAAAATAACTCGTCACCCGCCAACTGCGCGATAGTTAATTGCGATTATCGCTCGCTCGCATAAACGCTGCCCCGGGGCCTAATGAGCCGAAATGATGCGGCACACCAATGGAATATAAATTCAATGCGTCCACTCCAATTGACGGACGAGCGGGTTAGCAACAGCCAGACACGGCGGAACATTATTATTATTTTTTATTACCTAACCGGCCAGTGCTTAGCATGGTGGTAAGCAGTGATACAGGCTATCTTTACGTTTATTTAAAATCTCTAAAATCGGAATGTTATTAATTTATCCGAATTGAATGGAATTGAATTATCAAGTTACAACAAACGCATCTGCTACCGGTAGATGTCCATGGGCGGTGGTAAATACTTGATATCATGAGAGTCGCTTAAAGTTTTTGTTGACGTTTGCCACTTTCCACAGAATAAAACGAATGAACTCCGTCCCTTTTTAAAACATTGTTAAACTAAAAGCTATAGAACCCACTCGCCAATCAAAGCTCGGTCCAGAAAGCTTTTTACACGCGACAGTTCTGGTAGATTCGTCAGGCTTTTGATCGGATGTCGGGACGTTTGCGTTGCGAGCTCAAACACTTTTGGATTGCATATTACGTTTTCACGTAACAATTACCACGAGGGGCCGTCGCCTATCACGCCGCTCGTCCGCCGCAAAATACCGCGCGGGAAACGTTCCGTTCGATATGTAATTTAATTGAACGCTCGCGACGTTGACGAATCGCGTACGCCGGTGACTGAGTGGCAATTTTGTCTGATATTGCGTATATGTTGTGGGTTCGGTTCCATTATCAACCGACTTCAAAAAGGAGGGACGTTCTCGATTCGAGTGTATTTTATTTAGTGTTTGTTACCTCGGAACTTTCCAATGAGTGAATTGATTTTGATGGTTCTTTTTTTATTTGAAAGCTGGCGCTTCCGATGTGGTCCTATATATAATTTCATTGTCATTGGATCTCGGGTTCCGGAGATACTTAAGGAACTCGTGATAACCAATTATAAAATGAATACAGAGTGCGATATTTGAAGTCGGTCATTCAATAAAGTGTTTACATGAAAGAGGTGCACCTTTTTCCTTTTAATGTCGTAGCAATCTGCCCCAAATTGTCAAATGGTGTGGTTTTTACGGGCTGCTTTGCTCATGCCCTTTTTTGTACAAATAAGAATTTCAAGGTATTTATATGTATGTGTACAAAGTAAGGATAAATCGATGACTCCGTGGCGCAGTTGCCAGGGTATTTGCTTCGGCGTTGGGGATCGTGGGTTCGATTCCCACATTGTGGGACAGCTATTTGTGTAATCCACAGATAGTTGTTATGCCCGCAATGTATGTCCGAAATTTATTACGTTTCCTATATTAAAAGACTTTGTTATCATAATAATTTAAATCTAGCTCCGTTGCTGAGTTTTTTCTTTTGAGATTAATTATAAATTGCTTTCACGCACCTACGCAACAGGCCCCATCTCGTAAACCTTTGAGACATACAAATACATCCACCCAAATCATTCAAGTATCTATCAATGTAGATTTTTCATTGATTCATTATTTATTTTTTGTTTATTTGAATTTTGGCTAGCGAGCAGGCGGATATACCATCTGTACAGAGAAGGCCTTTGCCGGCAGAGGGCATAATTATTTAGGCTGTTTCTTTACTCGCATAATTCGAATATCGAGTCAAATCACAAAATTAGATACTTTTAGCAAGCGGTCGTTTCCAAAGTCGTTCGTCGAGTTCCACATCAAATATTAAGTGATCGTTCAGAAACGTGCAGGCTCCCAATCGGAACTTGATACTGCTACCGAAAAAAAGACTCCGCCGTCTCGCTCTTGTCTGATGATTGACGGCGCGCGGGAAAGAGAGAGATGACTTGGAGCCCGGCTTGATAGGGCGGCGGTCTTCAATGAATAATTGTTAGATTAACGAGGCTTAGTCATCGGCTGCCATCGCCGCCGGCGGAGCGGGCTGAGATAACAGTAGTGTTGTGCCTATGAATGCTTGATATGTATACAGATTGTCGATGAAATCGTTTCGTCAGAATTTCAGAAGAAAGTTGATATTTTTTTTAATGCTAAATGTTGCCAAACGAGCAGACGGGTCACCTGATGTTAAGTGAATACCGCCGCCCATGGACATTTGCTACACCCGAGGGTTTAAGATGCGTTGACAACCTTTTGAAAATTGGGCTCCGGCTACCTCACTCACCAGACGAAACGCGAAAGTATTTGTCATACTTCCACTTTACGCTGGTCTTCTGTGAGGTCGTATATATGTATTTTATTTTTATATTGTATATTATTAGGATATTTTACGTAGCTGTAGATATGAAAAAATTAATTTCATATTCATTTCCCGAAAATTTTCATTCAAAGCATTTTCTGATAAGAATGAGCATATAAGACCTCCGATCTATGCTAGTGTCTAAAATTTTGTCTTGTACTTCACGTCTCCATTTCTGTTCATTTATTTGATGAATCAATGTGGTCCAATATCAATTTCATTAGTGCTGGAAGAAAATAAACTAGGAGATTTTAAATAGTTTATATTTTTGAAGTAAAACTTCTTTAGGCGCGACTAGGGAGTAACTCAGATTTTTTCTGACGGAAGTAACGTCATAAGTATATGTCATATTTTTAAAATATGACATATACTTACTACATACATACTAAATATTCAATCATTTCAGTGATATATGCCGTCAACGCCAAAGAAGTTTTACTTCAATCGCGCGTAAAGGTTACACGCACACACTTTTTTTTTGTTAACAAAAGTGTACTTGTCAGGCGTCGATTTGCGAACGGCTATAAGCGGCAGTATCAGTTAGTGGTTTCGCGTGTAACGTTTATCGTAATCGTATCGACATACGCTACGGTCGCGTCACTGGCCGTCGAAGCCGGCACTAGTAGGGTCGTGTAGGCTGATCCGCGAACAAAGCGATGCACGGCGCTAATATCGATTGCCCACGCGACTGTGTCCTCCCCGCACTGCACACACATCTGTTGTGAACAATTGACAACGGACTTTCGCACCTCCCGCCCCGCCTTAAGATCGATAATCATGCACCCAATTGCGATCGCTGCGCTACTATTTTGATTTGCCCTACGTCACTATTCAGGTGGAATGCGCTTCGGGATATCTGTGCAAATTGTTTCGCAGTATTCGTTCAGTATTCCGTACTATTTGTTAGCGTTTAGTGGATCGGTTTCCGATGCATTGTGCGCTGAAATAGTGTGAAAAATTGTTGGAAACAACAATACAATAACACGATTTTAAAAAGATTTCGTACTTATTACTTTTCTATACTTCTTATTAACAGGTCGCTATAAAAAAAACTTTCCTTTAGAACCAATCTTAAGCTGGATGCTATCCACGCATATATTCTAAGTCAATAGACATCAAACGTAACTTGGAATACCAATATAAAATCGTGCAAATTTCTGTCCTTTATAAAATTATTATGATAACGGTTATGTTGGTAACATAATGTTAACAATAAAACTACACAATAAGATAATTCTCATAGCACACTCCCACATATGTGTCGATGTAAAATTTTTCAATATTTTACGTGTTATTTATTTATTAAAGTATTTTACCAACAAACCAATAAACAAAGAACTGAACCGATTTAAATGTAATTTGATGCACAGATAGTCTAATGACCTAGATAGGACATAGACTATTTTTCAGTTGGAAAAAAGTGTTATAAAGGGTTGAAAGATATTTATTTAGTATTCCTATATAGGAAAGATCCTATACCCAGAAAATGATGTTCCATTTAAGGAGGAGTTGAATTAAAATGTTTAATGTTTTCTACGGTTTGTAAGGGAGTGCCATGGTCCCAATCTTATAGTGAATTGTCTTCTAATCGGTCATCAGTAAACGACCTTTTTGTTTGTCCGAACAAATTCGATATCTACAATCTTCAATACGCAACCCTTAGAAGGAGGTAAGCAGCTTGTTCAACGAAATCTAAAAGCAAATAGTAAAGATATTTTAATTAATAGAACATCATGATGTACGTAACACCTTTTACAAAAAAAACGAAATGACACTGGAAATACCGAGCTTTAGACTAGCTAAAACCAGGAAATCGTTTCTTGGTAGATGTACTTTAATAGGATAGGTGACATACACAAACAATTAAGTGTAAATAATTTCAAACATTTTGTAAGAGCCACCTTAATGGAAAGGGCTTATTATAATGTCGAGGAATGCATTGAGGACAAGGATGTGTGATGATGTATGACCGCAGAGTTTCTTGCCGGTTCTTCTCTTGCAGGTCTAGTTTAGTGAACCGGTGGTAGTTTTTGACGTTCAATAAGAGCTTAAAATAAGCCTAATAAATAAATAATGTTGAATAAAAAAATTTTGACTTTGGCTTTGACTTTGAATTGAGCCTTGAAGATTATCTATCAATTTTGATCAATCCGGAATAAAAACCGACAAAATCTACGACGAAATATACACCAAATGCGATAGAACAGGATTAATATTAAATTAGCGGATCGAAATCCGAATTGTACCCGTATATTCATTTCAGAATTCTCCTGATATTAAATTAATCAGTTATGTAGAATTGTCAGTGACTGTGCATGGTGTAATTTTTACGTTGATGTGGCTTATTCACCATGGAAGCTTGTGTTTTATGTTGAGCGTATTTAATTTTATTGAAATAAAATAAGACATAAATTAATTTCAATTAAATAGTTACCATAAATACTCAAATTAATTATGTTATGCTTGTTCACATCGTTACCGAAGACGTAAGTTATTTCAATAATGACTAAATGATTAATTAATAGTACATTTGTGTCAATGAGCCGTGATAGCTCAGTGTCCAAGGGTGCTCGCCTTTAATTCAATATACTCGAGCAACCTGAGTTCGATCCCCGTTTGAATATCAGTTTAAAATGAAAACTTAACGACCTTATCACGTGCTTGAAGGAAAACATCGTGAGGAAACCTGCATATTTTCAAAATAATAACAAAATATATATATATTTCGAAATATAAGTCCGCAGTGGGGCCCGCGTGGTGGACTATGTTCTGGATAATGACCTTCCACATAAATGTAAATTAGCTATTCTCGACGCATGTTTACTGTTACTTTACTTTTGGACTTTTGATTTGTGTTTTATCGTTAAATTGTGTAATCAAAAAACTAATCAGTAATGTTATAATGAGACGTTTGAATATCAGAAAATAAAAACGAGTTTAGCTCGCCAGTTCCCATGTTGCGTCCGCATGGGACGTACGTAGAATACACAAAGCTTAGCTGCCCTATAATCGACATCGATAATTGACAGGTACGGGCATCCCTAGACACGGACGGACAATTAGCGCGGCTTTGACATGTCACATATAACCCCACATTGTATCATTCGACCTGCCAACCCCCCCCCCCCGTCCCTGCGTCACCCCCGCACCCCACACCCCTCTCACGGCGAGGCACTAATGCGCAATCAATAATAATTATCTTCGTGTTTGCAAGCGAGTGGATTGCATTGTGATGTAATGTGCACTGGGGCAGCCACGTGCCGCAAGAGTCGGGTGGACATTTCCTTGAGTTGGGAAGCCTTCTATATCATTACTAAATGAAACTATGTTTACGGATGTATTGCGTTCATTTTTAGTTTTATTTCGAACGATAACGACCACTCGAACCTTTTACACCGTTCATGGTTACAAAACAGACTAATTAGTTACATACAGGGAGGCTTTTCTAATTGTATCCATTTATTTTGTTATTAAATTCTAGACATAAATAATGTTATATAAAAATGATAAATATTTAAAATCACTCGTGAGTAATTAATTACATTTATTTGAACTTATCTCAAAAAGTGCGTGATTTATACACAACTCATTTATTTTACGCGCGATCATTCATAACTAACATGCACACTAGTTTGTTTGTGTGCGTGAACATTAAATTTAGGTATTTATGAACGCGTTGTCAATAAGTTCTGTTTTTTAGGGAATAGAATGGTAATTTTTTTGTAAAAAATAGTTTTTTTTTAGTTCAATAAACGATTATACTACCGAGTCTGAACCTCCTGTGTAAATTTGGGCACCTTTAAAAAGCCTTCCTGTATACACATAGTTTTATTGCGTACTTAAATACAAGAAATTATTAAGTAGCTTTCCACAGCTTCTATATCCTCTTATAAAATAGAGGAAGTGTATATTTTAATTAAGGACTGATAAAATATCTCTGATCCATGATAGGGAGGTTCATAATTGGATGTTTTAACTCATCATTTCTGTGTAACGTTATGTTAAAACAAGATTATTATTTTAGCATCGACCCGTTTAAATTGTTGATAATGTGTAGAGTATGAAATCAAAACTGACCTCTCCGATTTTAACGTGGACAATCATTGCATTACAATTATTGTGAATGATCATTGGTCAAGGTGCGGCTTTGCTATGAAAATAAACCATATTAAAATAGTCCATGCAAATATTTGCAAATGTAAGCAGCTGACATATATATACCATGAAGCAACAAGTTTAAAGCGTAAGTAACATAGATAAACCTGAAAAATTAGCACGCAATCGGGACAGTCCCGGCATTTTGTGGCCAACGTACGTTTGTTGTCATAGCCGTAGTCAAATGTCGCATGTTGGCCGGATTAATTTGCGAAGCAATTAGGCGGAAGTGGCGATACGTCCGTTGTTGGCCCAGCACAAGATGGCAAGACCATTTATTGAGCCTCTTTCTCGGACGTTGGTACTAGGTTCCGGCGCAAAAAATAAACTCATTTAAATGGCCCTTAATCATATGCGTTTACATAGCGCGCGGGCTTTTTCAACTCGAATTGTATTTAGAATAACTTGCCGTGATAGCTCAGTCTTGTATCTTGTATTAACTGATGTTTGTGCTTTCAGTCCCGAGACTATTAAAGCTTCATCTGACGCAGAACCGGTGGGCTAGCCAGAACCCACGGGTTTGGGGATAGCTCAGTGTCCAGGCGCCTTTAATTCAAATTACTCGAGCAACCTGAGCTCAGTCCCCAGCGCCAGCACCAATGAAATTGTTAATTTTAAGTGCTGACTTATCACGTGCTCAGCGGTGAAAGGAAAAATCGCGAGAAAACCTGCACATTTTCCAAATAATAACATAAAAAAATATTTCGAAAATATGTGAAGTCCGCCAATCACGTGGTGGACTATGCCCTGATAGCCTCTATGTAAATGGGGCCTTTTCCCAACAGTGGGGCATTTATAGGCTGTTACTATTTTACTTTTTTTATACGAGAACTTGTCAAGCAAGCAGGCGGTTCACTTGATGTTAAGTGAGTATCTCCGCCCATGGACATCTCCAAAACATGATAGTTTGCTGATGCTTTGACAACCTTTAAAAATGAAGGCTCCGGCCACCTCACTTATCAGACGAAACGCGAAAGTATTATACTTCCACTTTACGCCGGTCTTCTGTGGTGTCGTGGTACTTACCCGGACGAGCCTGCCCATTCTTGCAACAGCCGAGGCTGCTGCAGGGCCACTGCCATTTCAATCTTTGCAAATTATATTATAATAGTGTACCTGTCATTTCGACTTTAAACAAATCCAAAGACTTGAATAACTAAATTTCGCATCATGATTGCACATTTGAACAGCATTGCAAGGTTCTTGATTTTTTTCTTTTGTATTCATATCAGGTTTGTCTTTTAAACGTATTTAATACTTTATAAATGCAACTTTTATTTTTTAAGTATTAGCGGGTTTTATAAGTTTCTAGTAAATTAATAATTAATAATTTATTAATTATATTTTAAGAAGTAATCTAGAGTTATTAAGGCAGCACGCTGACCATTAACGAAGGTCTATAAAGCAATGAGTGAATTATTCCACTCACGGGTTCCGAATGGAATCATTAAGAAGCGTCATTAAAAGCGGCCATCGAAACATCGCGCCCGCTGCGTTGCCTCCATCACTTATGCCGTGAGTGGGAAATAAAAACGGGGACGCCATTCGCCCCGTCAGGGGGCGATCGTGGCATCGGTCGCGGCATACGTTGGCCGGCCGTAAAACGCCCCATAAGGCCTCATAGGGCCCGCTGCGCCTTAATTAAGGAGCTCAACTCGGAACTACGCGGAGGTCCGTGCCCTCACGGCCGGGATTAATAATTCACGAAAGCAATTAAGCCATGGGCGAATCTATCGAAGTTAGAAGGGCTCGACTGATTTTTCTACTCGACTGTATTCCGGGATATTAGATATCTATCTAGTTATTTACTCTGAACCGTTTTTAAAATGCACTCTTGTTTGAAACTGTCCTTGCTAAAAATGGCATGCCTTCCCTGCGCTGTTTTCCTAATATTGTGGCTAATTTTGAACCCAAGTAACAAAGATTTAAATTAATTGCCTCGCTCCAAGCTTCGTTACAACACACAGAATAAAGGGAAAATTTCTTCCCCTATGAAGATTAAAATTTTGAATAATGAGGCTAAAAGCACATGCCACATTTTCGTAATTTGTTTAAGTTGCAACTTTATAACGCTTCTATCGTTACAGATATCTCTTTGACTAATAAGCATGTACGAAAAATAATCACTAAAAAGAGTGCCTATACTGAAGTCTGCCAAATCAGAAAGTCTGTTCAAAAAATTTCTTTATATACTGTACTGCTGATGTAGTAATAAGGTCGATGTTCGTGGGCTATCAGTAAGTCAGTGTTTTTTTTTTTCAACAAACTGTTTTTTTTTTTTTTTGGATATGTGAGGTTCTTACCCACTAAACCACCACTTCGAGCTGCTGCCAATCCGTGTCCCCTTTTAGTCGCCTTTTACGACAGGCAGGGAATACCTTAGCCCTATTCTATAAGCCCGCGACTACAGGGCTGACTTTAAACAAACCTAGGACACGCCGTAGCGTAGAGACTTGGAGTTTACCATGCTACGAACACTTCCGCTCAACCGGAGCGCGTTGTATCCACAGTGCGTTCCGCTAACGCAACATCAATCGGGGGCGAATCAAACCGTACCCTATATTAATTCCGTCGGATCGATTCCCGCCAGGGCTGCCGACAGTGCGTACTGTTAACTCAATGTTAATTCAATAATTACGCTCCAGTAAACTCAGTTATTTTTTTTTAATGCGGTCTTTTGTTTAATTTAGTACGTAATAAGATGGCAAGCGAACGGCGGTACACCTGCTGTTATAACCGGCACCCATCGATTCGCAGCACCCGTAGGGTTGCAGACGCGTTGCCACCTTTTAGTAAAGTGGGCCCCGGCAGTTAGCCACTAACCAGAAACGTAGAGGTGTAACACATCCACTTCACGCCGTTCTTCTTTGTGTTCTTGGTACTTCCCCGGACGGAGCTACCCGTTAATGCTACAGCGTAGACTGTTGCGTGGCTCTACCACATGTTCAAATATTCCGTGAACATTTAATGAGCTGGTGATTCAGATGGAACACCTGCTCGTTTGCGAATCCTGACTATAATATTACTAATTACTTAATATTATAAAGGCGAATGGTTGTATGTATGGATGGATGATTGTTACTCTTTCACGCAAATACTACTGAACAGACTTTAATGAAACTACAATAATATAGCTTATACATCAAAATAACACATAGGCAATAATATATCTTTATATATTATAATATATAAAGATATTGCGTGAATTGTCCAAAATATAAGTAATGATAACCGTCAACTATATAGTATATAAGAAAAACACATTGTTAATTCCCTTTGGCGGTGCGGGTGAAGCCGCGGATAGCAACTAGTCTCTTACAATATAAAAATTATGCAAAATTTCTGCCTATACAATATTAATTGCGAAAGGATTTTACGAACATCCCTATTTTCCCCTTCGTTTAAAAGGATGTAGAGAACTTATGTATTGTTTATGCAAAAATTAAAATTGTAAAACAAATCTCTACCTCACTAAGATCTCTACATGTGTTGCAGAAATCTAAAGTTAACAAAGATTTGAATTATAAGTGTAAAAATGTTTCAGGGCTTGTGCAAAACTTATTTTCTTAGGCAGTTACATCCGCGTAACCATAATACGTATCACAATGGAATATTCTGGGCGATGCGTCAACCGTGGTTTGTTCAACCCTAGCAGCATCCCGGCGGGGCGAAATCCCGGGGGCGAGGATCGATCACCCCGTAATTAACCGTTTGTTAGTTGATACATTCGTGTTATCCCACGCACACGCGCGCTCGGACGCACACACGCAAACGGCTCGTCTGTGCGCACTTTGAGCGCGGATGCTAACAGTACTCGCTAATCGTTCGCTATCTATTATAGCTTTATAATATATGTTTATGTGATCGTAGAGAATTTGTTCCAGTTAATCAAACGTAAGAGCTCCAAAATATAACGTTGTATCCGGAATCCTTATGACAGTAACAATATTTCGTAGAAATGTAGAGGAAAGTTATTTGTGTGAAAATCTTTTCCTGATTCTTATCAGAATTTTCTTTCCTGCCTTAGAAAATGGATTCGATTAAACTAGTAACTTAGGACAATATTTTTTACTATCGTATGTCGCTGTCTGTATACATATGAAATATTCTATAATCATATGTCTACGATTCTTTGCAAATAATTATAAGACTTAAGAGAAAAAAAAAGATCAAATCGTCGTTATTATTGAGCCATGTTTTTCATCAGTCCATCAAAATTGCATTAAGTATTAAAGACGGAATTCAAGCTGAGGTCTAATACGAACCCATTATGCGTTTCAGGTGAAAATCTGGTTCCAGAACCGCAGGACGAAATGGAAGAAGAAGGACAATGTGACCAACGCCGAAGTGGCCGAGATAAAGCAGCAGAACAAGCCGAGCGTGGAAGAGAAGAAGGCGGAGGAAGGGAAGGAGGACCCGCTGGCTCTGGACATGTCCAAAAAGAACTGCAACAAGATCCTGAACGAGAAGCTGAGGAGTACAAAGCAGGGGACGCAGACGTCACCGAAGCCGAGGAAGGTGGAGAAGGGGGTGCTGCTAGAGACGATATGTGACGCGAACGACATAGAGAGCAGGATATCGATAACGAAGATTACGAACAAGCTGTCCGGGACGGACCTGGCTGGCGAGCCGAAGGTCTCCGTGAAGAGCTTCAGCCCCGACGAAGTGAAAGACTTGAAATTCGACAGCCTGAGTAGGGATGTGGAAATGTGAATATGTATAAGGCGTAACCAGCGCGTGCCTGTTGTGATATCTTTAACATTTCTCACATCTCAATGTTACCTCTGATGCCTAATTGGATTTATACTACCCTGATTGTTTATCCTGCTCTTTCCTATGGCTGACCTGTTCCCCCCGCCATCTACTGTTTCCACTTTTATTTGAGCTTATTAAGATAAACGTGAACGGTGGGATGTGGTCGATATTAAGTTTACAGTTTTGGGTAAACGGATAAAATAAAATAAAAATTAATACATAAATATAGAGATGTCACAACTGGCTTGCGCTGGCTAATATTGGTAAGCATTAAGTCGGACAAAACCGCGTATACGATAAGCGACACAGGTAACACCATCCGTCCGACGTAAAACATCAAACTATCGCTGCAGCTGTGTTCATCTCCGTACACATTTGTGCAAAGCTCATTTCATAAACTTTATCGAAAATAAAATGAACACAACACACTACAAAAGATTATTATACTATTTTTTCTATTTAATGTCGAAATATTAGAAATTGTAATTTGAACCCTCCTAAACTGTGCTTACATTTTTCTAAAAGTTGTCACTAGTATTATTTCGTTTGATGTTTACTAACAAAATGTTGTTTTGAATGTTTGTTTGTTTACGTGTAAAGGATTTATTTTCGTAAGTTAAAGTATTACAATAAAAGCCAATAATATTAGTCGGTCGACCTGGAGATGTGCTTTTTAGTTTTATATGTGTATTATTTGGTTGTAGTGAGAAGCATGTCATTAATCTCACGTAAATCATTAAACAAGTTGAAAACAATTTCTTCAAGTTTAATTATTTGGTTTAAAGTTTAGGTTTGGTTATAAAGTATTTCAAAAGTAAACTTTTATGTTTGTACTTTTTTTATGCAAAATAGAGAACGAAATCTACACAGACAGAAGCTATATTATTATTGATTAGCAAGGTAAAGAAGTTTCACTTCTCAGACTTTTCAAGAGTTGCACTTACAATTCTAACCTGCTTTGATACACAGATACAACATATATATATCGCGTGACTGTAAGCTCGAAAATAATAGTTATTTTGTGCAATAATCGCTCTATTGATGTAGTTTTTTAAGTACTTATTTAACTCGATCTGTATGCTTTAAACGGCATTTTTGCTTGCTCTCTAATACATTTCTATTCATTGGCAGATGACTCGACAATTTATGGGAAAAAAATCTATACATGTAATCTAGTTTAAGCACCAAAAAGTATACGAATTATGTTAAATCTAGATAAGTATTTGATCCGAAATTATGTTTTATTTCGCCGTTGATATTGTGTGTGAAAACTGCGAAATAATATTTATAAATTGATTGTTAATTGACCAAATTGTTACCAAGTCAAGCGAGCTGTTTCGTCTATAGAATACTCATTTGTCTTTCGATTTTATAATCAATATTGCTTTATTTTGAATAGGGTTATTTTAAGAAATTATGAAGTCGTTATCTACCACCAATTTGTAAATTTACGTCAGTTTATAGAAGATACACCAAGAAAGTATACAATAATAACAACCGTTACCGTATTAAGGTATGTAACGTATTTGTCAGCTTTTATTTCATATTCACACCACAATAAAGATACTTAATGTTTACCGTCTCAAGATAATTGTTTACAGGATTTAAGGAGATTTTTCAATACTCGAACCAAATGTACAGGACGAACAATTACTTCAAATTACAGTTGTTTTAACTTCTAGTAACATAAATATTATGTTAACTACTTTGCCTTCCACTTAAAGGTATAATAAATATTTTAAATCCGGTAAATTCGAACTTTTCCTGTATTATGAGTTAAGTTTACCGATTTCATCAATTACGTCACAGCACAAAAACAGAAAGTTCAAATGAATGTATACGAAAAGCACGTAATTTAACATTTAGTTTACTTACGTTTCCGAGGGTGAGTGTATAATGAATTAATTAGTGAAACTTAGGTCAAATCTTTAGCTAATAATTAAAACGTACAAATTAATTGTCAATGGTCTGATGAGAGTAAATAGTTTTTGTACTAATAAGGGCCTGCACACGTCTTTGCTATAACGTTTTAGAACAATGTGTGGGTCAGCCGTGTGCTCGGGTCTTTTTAAATATAACTCGGCTTTAAATCATTCTAGACTAAGTTATCATGCAGAATTCACTAAGTGTAGCTCAAAGTCGGGCTTCTCACCCCGGCGCGATGTAACTGTACAAATTTGTTTGCAATATGCTCATGTCTCTTCAATTGCTTCCTATAGGCGTAAGTCCAAATTGTAAATTTGTCTATTAGACCTTTATGAAATTAGTTTTAGGCGTATTGATACTGATGTAGCATTAGACGTATAGAGTAAACGGAATGAAAATAAATAGTTTTCCATAAAACTTTTACTGTTTTGATTTCAATTACAGAATTTGTCATGTCTACAATTTCATGGAAAGATGCCATAGATTTCAACTTATAATTAATTTATACGCATCAGTGGCAATCATTTTAGATGTATCCGAAAAGTTATATTGACTGTTAAATATATACTTATTTATTTTACCCCCATCTATAAGTAAATTTGAGAACTAACATCAATCAGGTATGACTAGTGCCATCTATCACGTAAACTTTTAACTAAATCGTTAGAGAGCTAAAATATTTTTAAATGGATTTTATTGTAACTCAATTTATACGCTGAAACATTGTAAAAAGTTATTTAAATCAATTATAATGTTAGGTACATAGTTTTGTGGTTTAAAAATATCAATATTAATATTTAAGTAAAATGTTGTTTGTTAAAAGCCATCTATCGGCTGTTCTTTACTGCTACATAATAAATGTAAGTAAGAACATGGAAACCAAATATTTCGGTATTTCCACAATAGATGGCATTTACCTTTTTTATGAAATAATTATTATATCTACATTAAAAAAAATATTGTCCTAAATTTAATGTTGTACTTTGTTAGTTATGTTTTCGCAAATAGGTTGGCTGGACTCGTGACTTACTACGTCTAATCTATACATCGTATCAAAAGCAGTTAGCAATATCTCCCGGGCTGATGATGGGATTGAATTTAAAGAGGGTTACGCAGTTATTTTAGGAAATCATTACCCTGTTATATAATTTCTTTCAAATGCATAGATTTGTTTTGTTATTATAGTGGAGTACCTAATAATTTCAGATGGCAAAAGATAATCTCAATAATGCAGAATACCGGAAGGCGTGATATATTTGTATCCCGATATATAGACAGGGGTATTATACCACTAGGTACTAGTTAAATGCGAGTATCACATCGCGTGATCATGATTTTTTTAATAAAATAATAATAAATAAAATAATATCTTTTTGTAATTTTTTGTTTTAATTTTTTTTATATTTTGTTATAACTTTAGTATTTGTTTTTAGGGTTCCGTACCCATAGGGTAAAACGGGACCCCGGGACTTATTAAGACATGAGCTAAACGTTGGTTAATTTTAAGCGTTTTTTCCAAAGGGGAAATAAATATTAGATATAGATACAGGGTTTCGGCAAATAACAGGAATGGCCAAGAGATAAAATCGTTCTTACTTCTTAATAAGTCGGCCGGTTAATTAATTTTACTTATAAAAAAAAAAGAGTCAACATTTTATTCAGGGACTCGGTCGCTGTGCTATATAAATCGAACATGTTACTGATTCCACGATCAAGCTAAAATACATTTGCGAGTACATATGAGTGATTTATGTCGTTTCGCATTCTGCATTCGTTCATTCATTCATTCATTCCCTCTGCTCTCTTCTTAATGTCTCATTAGCATAAAATCTTTTCGCAAGAAATCGCTTTCTGAGCGATAAGACCGCCTATTGTACTTCCTTTTACATTAATTTGTAATTTACTTTTTATACATATTTTTGGTATACAATAAAGTATAAATAAATAAATGATTACATTTTACTATAAGGAATAGTCTGTAGTCGAGTTCTAAACCTTAATGTCGGCTTGATCCGTCGAATCAGAATCGGTAGCTGAGAATTGAGTGCACTAAAGTCACACAGTCTCACCGTCTTACCTAGTTTTATCTTAATTTTAACCATCATACCGTCCCTCTTGTACGAGCGGCAGGTTAATATTGGAATTTAATCCACTTATTTCACCGCAGCAGTCACGTAAAATTCCTTTTTATAGCAATAGTAGCAATAACATCTGATTGATTTTTGTGTACTTTTAATTTTGCGTGCTGAATGTACTATCTTAATAGTGCTTATTACGTATAGGTTATTCGCACTTGCTCTATATGACGAGAAACTGCTCTTCGTCGGATGTCTTCTTTGCCGTCTTTTTTCTGCGGCAGGGCCAATCAGCAGCTTCTGGTGTTGCACAAATGGGCGACCTCGCCCGGGAACGTGTTAATAATTCGGATAAATCAACGTCAAGTGAAAGTCTGTACCTTTAAATATCAGGTGAACTGCCGGCTCGTTTGCATATACTTAAATACAAAAATAAAATAAAAGACGCTAACCTAAAAAATTAACATGGTTGTAAAGTGAACGTGTTCATCAACCAATTACCACCGTACCAAAGAACCTCGACACCCGTTACATGACATTTGACCCCCAGTCAAAGATTAACGTAAAGTGAACGTTCATCGGGTACACGAGCGATACCGTACATGACATTTTCACGCAACGCACACGAGGACCTGTACCAAAGCTCCTGGCTGGCTACTTCAGGAGTTCTGCATCAGGCTTCAATAGTGGTGGCGCATTTTGTTTAAAAATGTGGACGCGTTGGCCGACACGATAGGAGACAAGCTGCTGCGGACATGATACAGCTCAGTAAAAGATGGGAAGCACAGTACCTTGAGAAGAGCGGCGTGTCTAGTGGCGACGTCTGCTGTAGGGTTGCTGCGCACAAAGTGATGATTCCACTCGCTCATCACAGCAATACAGTTGTGACAAAGGCATGCATTGGCGCAACCAAAGTGTATGGACCGAAAGCAGAGGCATCAGTCAAAATAAAGA